CGTCAACAAGTTCAGTCTGTATATAAGTTATTCAAAATCAGAGTACAAAAGATCATGGATTTTATTATTGAAGTTTCTAATTCAAACTTTATCTTGAAATTCATGCTGATCAATTTAATTTTTCGGAGTCATATCAATAGTAATTTGATGTAACATGAATATTACCATCTTAGAGGCTATAGTTTCAAGAAAATCACGAAGAGGAAACAAAAAATATGTAATAATACTATAATATAATTTATATAAGGATGAATTTAAATACCTTAGAATTTATGGTTAATAAATAGAATTGATAAGTAGTTTTACCAATTGATACATTCCAGCCCTATATTACTAATATGACCATTTCCTCTATAGATTTTGGATATTTTTATTCTTTATTGTGGATGCTTAATTGCCTGCATCAACCCCTTGTTTTCATTCTGCTATGTTTCTGCATTTATGTATCTCTCATATATATATATATATATATTAAATGTATACCCTATTGGTAAGGTATCCAATAAGAATGAAATCCTTATTGCAGCTATTCTGTCTTCTTTCCTTTCTTCAGTGATATACCAGCAATGTGTAGTGGTGTAAATGAGATGAGCCAAGCTCAAATCATCTCTGTTGCAGGCTAGAATATACGCAGTGATAGAGTTAAAATTTTTACATCTCAGCATTGTACCGATATATAACACACAAACAGAGAATATAAGATTTTTTACGTGGAAAACCCTAACAAAGAAAAAACCCACGGGCCCACGCCTAGTTGAAATGGTTCCACTAATTTTTGAGTAGATTACAAGTGATTGAATCGTCCTTGAAATTGAGGATGATCATATTACAATAATCAACCATCTAATTAAAATCTAGTGATAAATGGAGAATGGATGGAACTCTGGCGATGTTAGGTGGTCGAACGGAAGTCCAGCATCAGTTGGTGACTAGGCGGAAGTTCGACGACAATCGGTGGTCGGCGGAAGTCCATCGACTGTCAGTGGTTGGGCGGAAGTCCGATGGTGGTCGAGGAGAAGTTTGGTGGCAAGAGAACTAGTTTCTCTCTCTTCCTTCTCTTTCTTGCTTGGGTCACCTTCCATGAGGAATTATAGATCTTTTTGTAGTTTTCTGAGAGTAACATGACTTGTAAATAGGAGGGAGATCAGGATAAATTGGGAGCGGTTTGAATGGACGGCCGATACTGATCCCCTTGATCATGAACCATTTATCGGGCATTTGAATGTCTTAATGATATCAGAATTTGACAATCTTTGGGGAGTCGTCACGTCGAGCCGCTCGATTCGACTATAAGCATGTCATGTTTGAAAATTGTTTAATCTTCCAATTTATGGTTTGAACTTTCTAATGTACTTTGGGTCTTCCATTTGGACCTATTTGGACTCAAATCGAGTCGAATTTGGTGTCGTTTGGTTCGTATTTTCGAGACGTTCAATTTGGCTGTACCTTTACTGAAATCAGAGTTTGGATGGTCCCAGAATTAAATTCGGAAGTTTCCAACTTAATTTTGCCTCGAGATTTGTGCCCGATCAAGATAATTTTTTGATGATATATCAATCTATAATTTGAGCGTGAACTTAATTAATAATTTAAGATTGAGTCGAGCTCAAGTTTAATTCTACAAATTTTAAACTCGTTCATTTATAACAAAATATAAAAAAAAATGACTATGATTCAAACAACCATTAAAATAAAATTATAAAAATAATAAAAATAAAAAATCAATTGAGATAAAACAATAAAATATAAATTTTAATTATTTATAATAGCTTCATACTTGAACTCATATATTTTAAATATGTTTTATATTAATATCCTCTAAACAAGTTGGCTCGTGAGCTAAAGGGTTGAGTCAATGTTGTCTCAAGTTTGGCTTGTTATTTCTTCGAGCTTGGCTCATGAGCAATTTATCGAGTAAAACTCGAGCCGGCTAGATACACTTATACTGCATGTGCAAAGCTGAACAATGTCGAGGATAATGAATGTAAATATTAATTTTAGCAAAAAAAAAAAAATAAACTCATTAAATAACTATAGGACACTCTTTTTTTCCCCAAAGAGAGGATTCCAATCCCACCACCAACTCATTAATGTATCTGTGCCAGTTCAAGGATTTGAGCTGGCACAAATACATTGTTAACAACTATAAATATTAATTAGGCAAAAAATTACAACCATTGCTTATGCAATTTACAAATACATCATGAAAAGATAACACTTATAAAAGAAATATATTTGATAGATCTCCCCTCCAAAGATGACAAATAAGGCTAAAGAAAACAAAAGCTTTCATAATTAAGTAGAAGAAAGAACTAGAGGTGAAATTCAACTTGATAAAATGTTATTACATCTATTGATTCAAATCCATCTATGGGCCATATATTGACCTTAATTGTGAGTCTAGGTATGCAAATAAAGTAAGAGGAAGAAGATAAGTGGGCGTATAATAAGAGCTTTGAAATGTACCACTCGTCTCTATTAATAATAGAAAGTAGTATAATCTAAAACACTCATAGTATGTGTCCAAAAGATATCTTTCAAATCATTATTTATAAAATTATGGGTGTTACATGAGAGCCAAGATCTAGATAAATAATAAATAATACATGACTAGATGGTTATAAATTGTTATAGACACTTAGAGTACTTCATGATATGTGCACGTTAACATTCATATTTGATGTAACTTTAGCTACCTACGTCGAATATTTGTGGTGAATGCTCTTGATGAATTCCTCTTAGGTGAATACAAAAGTTCATCCAGTGCCTTTGGTTCTTTTGCTGGATCCGTCGGTTTCCTTTGCTGTGCTTTGTTGCAGCTTTAACGCAGCCCTTATTTTCCTGAGTCCATTTTAAGTTTAGAATTTTCAATTATCTTTTGTTTCTATTTCTAGTTTGGTTTGGTTTTTTGGGGTGGTATAGTTTTCTATACTCACTTGTAACTAGCTTGTAACCTTTTTGATTAATATATGGGCTTTTGCCCCCAATTTTCCAAAAAAAAAAAAATACAAAAGTTGAGTGTCATAAGCAGTCCTCTCAAGTGAGTACTTTGAGTGAGTTCTCTCAAACGAATACTTAAGCAGGTACCTTTGCTTTAGAGATGGCATGATTGATGAGATCATCATTGATTGATAGCTATACATCTTTTAAAAATTTGATGAGGGGTCCTTCCAGAGAGATGAGTCGCCTTAACAGGTCTTTTCTTTAGAATTTTTCGTGAGGCTAATTTCACTAGGGTCAATATTTGTCCTCTTTGAATCTTGCTATGATGAATCCCCCACTTAAAAGAGAAATTATTATTTGCAGAGATCAGATGCAAAACGTTGTCCGGAGACCAATAAGAATGCATCATGTCAGCGGTACTGAGCACAAGGGTGACGTTGCACATTATGGTTGGTCTTCGAACGATGTTCGACATCTGCACAGAATAATTAATCCAACTTAGCAGTGCATATCATGATTCATTAATAAATATATCTCTTAACTAAGCTCCTCTAAAATAGGGTCAACTCGTCTCAAATGTACAATAACATAACAACATAAGAATATACCATGGAATAATATCCTCTACAAACTTAAAAAGAGCGGAATTTCTAAGAAATTGAGGAGCTCCACTCAAAAAGAGACATCAACCTCAAATTCTTGGGAAATTATTTTGTGCATAATCAGAACGCAGAGGATCATTTGGATTACTGTGCATGCACTACGTACTTATTGCGTATGTACTGTGTATTTGTAGATACGCATCAAATACTAAGCCAACCATTACTTGTGAGTATTTGCTGAGTATCTAATTAGTATTTTCTATGTTTTGTTGAGTTTTTAGTGAATATTGTTGATTTGCTATTTATTTGATGCTTATTTACTACGTAATTATAAATATGCAGTATATATGTAGTACGTATGCAATAAGTACGTAACAACTGGAAGATCCACTACGTTCGGACTCAGCACAGAAAAATTTCCCCAAATTCTGAGCCACTAATACTTAACCATCGTAGATATCCCTTATTGTTCATATAATCAATCTTATTTTATAGGTTTCTCCATTGCCCTTTTAAAAATATATTTATCTTCAATTTAAATTTCTTATTGTAAAGTATAACTCTTACGTATATCTTGAAATTAAGAAGAAGCACTTCTTGAGCTTCTTGGAAGAGAGAAGAGATGAAAAGAAGTCTTTATTTCTTATTTGAACGAGCTCTTACAAAAGAATTACAACCCACTTCAACCTAGCTAAACACTATTAATAGAATAGTCATTGATCAGCTTAAATTAAATCTAGACGAAACCTAACAATAACTAATATAATATTAGTTATTATTTAACAAACAAACCAGATATAACGTCATGTAAATAATGAGGGGAAAATAAAACTATATACAAATACTGATTAGAAATTCTGTCTAATCATATTTTATCTATTACTTGTTGATTATTATATTATAAATGAACCTTTATATAACCACAAAAAAATTATAGTTGGCAAAAATAAATAAATAAAATATCTAAACTATGTAGGCCCTAAATTGATTAATTATTCGGTGAGATGCCGAACGTCGTCCGAAAATCAATCAGAATGCGTTATATTACCTTTGCGCGTAGCGCTAGAGCTCGCTAATGCTCGATACCGCTAGATAATTTATGAGGTTGGAGTAGTTAACAAAAGATGATGATTAGAGAGAATAAGCCACGTCCCATCTTATAATACGGTGTATTAGCTTTTTAGGCAATCACTTAGGGTTCTATATCCTGCCATTGCCCTCTCTCCATTCCACAAAAGAAGAAACAAAATAGAGAAAACAGAGCAAATATACCATGTAATATTATTATAAGAGTGTTTTTTCTTTCCATTTCTGCACAAACAGATCTACCCACTTCCATTACAACCTTCCGTCCCTATCCCTTCCTATCTAATATTCTGCAAAGCCAATAAAAGAAAGAGATGCTCGCGGATTTCCTGCTGTCATCGCTCTCTTACCACTTCAGAGCCATCAAGATTTTTTTTTTGAGACATTTAAGCCATTTTAAAGCAAACTCACTACAAAGACTTAGAATCCAAGATCTCTTAGTTGAAAGTCTAAGCTCTCAACCAACATGTGAAGATGAGCTGTGTTCTTCTTTAAAATGGCGCTGATGAAGTTCTCTGAAGAAAATCCTTTTTGGGAATCTGAGCAGCCATTGCCACTCTAAGCTGCAAGCCAATAAGATAAAATGAAAAGGAAAAACAGAGCTAGTATATATATAGCACGGCAACTCAGTTCTTAGTAATTACTTCCTCATTCTGTTTCTTTAACTTTGCGTTCTCCTCAGCCCTGTGAGCCACTTCCAGCTCCAGTTCGTTCGTGTATGCCTGTTTTTGCTCGCAGTGAACACTATAGTAAGGGATGAGAGAGGTTTTGAAAAAAAAAAAAAAAAAAAAAAAAAAAAACCCCCGGAAATTAGCACTTTTTTATTTTCCATACGGCTCTGATCTAGCAGAATTTTATTAGAATTTTTTTTTTTTATAATTTTCAATAAAGTCTAGAATTTTATAGAGGAATATGTACAGATGAGGAAGAGGGGATGTATACGGGCCTGCTTTCGGGCCCGGGAACGAGCCGCGGACTCGCGGTTCTTCATCATTCGCTTATGGTGGCGGTCGCTTTCTGCGTTGCAGGACGGCGCGTCTTCAAGATTTTGCTTCTTTGTCGACAAGGAGAAGGGAGAGGAGGCAGCCGTGTGGTGGGGAAGGTTGGACGGGCCGAACGGCCCGCACAGCCCGCTAGTAAGACTGAGCGCAGTAGGGGGGAGGGGAAGCTGCGGCTTCTCGCTGGAGACGGCGGAGCTCGGTGGGCTTTTGAAAGCGCTGGCCAGAAAATCCTGTAAGATCATGCCGCGGAAGAAGTGGCGCGTGTCGCCGGAGACTGCAGCCGGCGGCTGGCTTTCGTTGGCGAGAGTTGCGAGGTTCATGTCTTTCCAGACTTCTTCCATGGTTTTACGCTTAGGCGTTTGAAGAACAGCGACTGAGGAAGAGGAAGAAGAAGAGCGGGAGAAGGAGGAGGACGTGGACAAAGAGGAGGAGGAGGAGGAGGAGGAGGATAGTCGAGCTCTGGTTTTGGTGTTGGTGTTGGTGTTGGTGTTGGTGTTGCCGTCGGCGGCAGGGGATGTGGGCCACATGGTTTGGGCAGTGTAGAGGAGTGGAGGAAGCGGATGAGGAGGTACTAGAGAAAGGGCAGGCTAGCGCAGTGTTAATCTAGCAGCGATACTTTGTTGTCTTCTCGTCGCTTCTGCTACGTTCACGCTCCTCAATAGTCTTCGGCCCTATGATTTCTGTTTATTTTTTTATAATGAAAAAAAAGGACCAAGTAATGTTGTTCACAAAGATCTTCAAAGATCTTATTAAATTGAAAACTAAATTTCTCTTTCATCAAGTTTATTATTCGGCACTTAATTAAAAAATTATTTACAGCATTAAGAGCCCAAGGTATCACGTAAACTTGTAAAATATCTTTATCTAGTTCTTTATGAAACTTATCTTATAAAATTTTCTATCATTATTGGTCACTCCACTCATTCACCTATTTATATTTTCATTTTTCGTGGTATCTGAAGCACCGTTGTTATTCCGAAACTTTCTATAGGACAGATGTTCTGTAGGGGTTACTATTGGGGGTGGGGGAGGATGAATTTCTTTAGGAGCCTGAAAATGGAGGAATTATTATGTCCGATCAAAATCAAACGTATCTGAATGTATACCGAGTGTTCAATACCGAGTTTTAAGTGACATGGCACGTGGTTATTGGTCTATGAACGCATTCGGTAACTAGACGTAATAATTGCTCCTGAAAATGATCGGTGCACTTTCCAAACGCTGTATTTATTGCTCTCTTATTTGCTCTCCCATTGGATTATGAGGGCTTTTTACTTTCTTTTTTCTTTTGTGAATTAACTTGTGTGGTTGTTCAAATTGTTTATTCTTTAAGGAGAGAATTATTCTGTGTGGACGTCGAATGCTCTACATCCGAAGACCAATAAGAATGAATCACATCAACAATACCGAGCGGGGTACCGAACGAGCCGTGCGTTACCAAGCGGTACCGAGCATTACTGAGCCGTGGTACCAATGTGACTCATTCTGATTGGTCTCCAAACGACATTCGTAGTCCACACAAAATAATTTTTGCTTCTTTACAGCGTTTAGTTCGGTGAAGAAGAAATATAGGGTAAATGAAGATTCAGGGGAAGAAGGGATGCATATATTTAAAACATTTATAATTATTAAAATAAATATTAAATAAATACAAGGGAATAAGGACAAATTTTAAGAAGGGCCATATATTTAAGATGTAATTAAGTAAAAGAAATGAGTTATAATTTTAATTTAAAAAGGATCTAACACGTAAAACAGTTTTGAGTTTTTAATTAAAAACGCAATACCGTTTTGTGATTTAATTAAAGCTCAAAATTGATTTGCATAATGCAAAGTTATTTTGCGTATTTTTAAAATTATAATATTGAATAATTATTTACTTTTTAATATATATATATTTTAATATTTTTATAATTTTTAATATAATATAATACACATTTAGGTATAGAAGCCACAAGCAAAGGTTTGTCGGAGATCTCACGGTGTCAGCCAGGCGATCAACTGGAGATTTCGCTATGATCAGTCGGGCGGAGGTCTGTGGAGGTCAATGACCGGGCGAAGGTTTGTGGAGATCAATGACTGAGTAGAGGTCCGTGGAGAACTAGAGGTAAACATGAAGAAAATCTGGAGTAAAGTCGAAGCACTCTATCAAAAAAACCCACGTCGATCCCCTCGATTATAGAATTTTTTTTTTTTTTTCAGCATTTGGGTACTTAAATGATGTCAAAATTAGGCTATGTTGAGCTTGTTGGATCTGTTTGGTTGAGTTGCTTGATTCGATTATAAACATGTCATATTTGAAAATCATTTTATCATCCAATTAATAATTTTAAGTTTCCAACTATGCTTAAGATCTTCAATTTGAGCTCAGTTGGGCTCGAATCAAGTCATTTTTGTGTCGTTAAGCTCATCTATTCGAGATGGTTAATTTAAGTATAAGTTTCTTGAAATTAGAATCCATATGTCCTCAATTTTAATTTTGGATTGTTTCAATTAAAATATGTCTCGGGATTTGTGTCCGATGAAGATGAGTTTTAGTGATATAATACTTATTTATTAACATTCATATTGTATTGAACTCCTGTTGATATGATTTATATTTGTTGCGTCCTGGAGTATTCGCGGAGGTAGAAAAATATAAATTTTAACGCCTTAGTTTTGCACGAAGATCTATGACACACACAACTAAAAGAGAGAGGGTACAATATTTAACAAGACACTAAGATTTTTACGTGGAAAACCCCTGAAAAGGGGGAAAATCCATGGGTGCTAGCCCAATTTGAATGAATCCACTAGTATTTGCAGTTGATTATAAATGAGGCACTTTCTTGGGGAAAGAGCTTATCTTGATGTACATCATATATAATACATTACATGGTGGGAATATAAAGAATCACTGTTGATGTATTTGTTTGGTCGGAAGGGAAATAGTCGATGCGCGACGGAGATTGAAAGGACTATAGTCGATGGTCGACGTAAATCAGAAGGATCGTAGTCGGCGGGCGACAGAGGTCATAAAGATCGTTGTCTAGCGACGTAGGTTCGAAGGACTGTAGTCGGTGGATGACTAACTCGGAAGGACCATATTTGGCGGGCAACGGAGGTCATAAAGACTGTTGTCTGACGACGGAGGTCGAAAGGACGACATTAGGTAGAAATCCAATGATGGACATAAGTCCAACGTCGAATAGAACTATGACGAAAGTCCAACAACGGGCAGAAGTCTGACGTCGGGTAGAAATCCGGCGACGAGTGGAGGTCCGACGTCAAGTAGAAGTCCGACGCCAGTCGACGATCGAGTGAAACTCCGACGTTATATGACATTCAGGTAGAACTCCAGCACCGGTAGGCTGCCGGGTGAAAGTCTGGCGGTGGTTAAGGAGGAGTCACTTCTTTCTCTTCCTTGCTTGCTTCTTTTCTCTTCTTATTTGGGCCTCCTTTTTCCCTCACTCTGGGCTCCACTTCTATGAGAAATGATGGGTCTATTTATATTTTTCTAATAGCGGCATGACCAGTAAATAAGGAGGAGATCAAGGACAAGTTGAGAGTGGTTTGAATGGACGGATGATGTTGAATTTCTCGATCATAGATTGTTTATTGGACATTTGAATGTCTTAATGATGTCATAATTTTGTGATCTTGGAATTGTTGGATTCGTTTCGTCGAGCCGCTCAATTTTACTATAAGCATATCATGTTTAGAAACTATTTGATATTCTAAATTATGGTTTGAACCTTTTGAATGTGCTTCTGGCCTTCGATTTGGACCCATTTGGGCTCGGATTGAGTCGAATTTGGTTTAGTTGTGTTCATATTTCTTAGACGTTCAGTTCGACCGTAAGTTTATTGAAATCGGAGTTCGCATGGTCTCCGAATTAATTTTTGAAGTTTCCAAGTTATTTTTGCTTCGAAATGCGTGCCCGATCAAGATAATTTTTTTGATGATATATCAATATTAATAAAAAAAATCTTAATTTATTTTATTACTTATTACAACTTTTTTTTTGGGACATTTTTTATTATAACTTACTTTATTTATGAGTACAAAATGTGTTTTCATATCCTTTCATCAGGTCGCCTATTGTAAGGCCTTCTTCTTACCAGTGATGTGACCGGCATTAGTCTATAGTTTACTTATTGGCCAGTGATTATTGGGCGTTTGTATAGAATATATTGTTGTACTTTATTTAATCTATTTTATTTTTATGGATCAAATTGTGATTATAATAATTAAACTTTACGTAATGAATTTGTTAAGCAGGACTTTTTTGAAGTGACCAAGCGTGTCAATTAAATTAAAAAGTAATAAAAAAAGTTGAACCCCACTGTGCTTAGTTGGGTTGGTGGGCGAGAATAGTTGGGAACTCCTAACATATTTTCGATTCTCCTCTCATGCAACGTGACCTTTTAAGTGGGAAGAAAATAATTGAAAACTCTGCACCTGTAGGGCTGGTTGATGATAGGCTCGCTGATGAATTAGTTATGACGTCTTAGAGTTCCTATGAGAGTGACAGCGGATATATATTCCATTCAAAACAAACAAATAAATAAATAAATAAAAATTTATGCATAAGATAATAACAGCTAGGCCGAACAGTAGAGCCGAAATCACACTGAAAGAAGTAGTTTATTTGGAGTTTTGCACTCCAAAAACTTACTTCCGAATACCCTATTTTTAAAATTTTTTATTTAATTATTTATATAACATTACAATGTTTAAAATCTAAATTATATCAAAATTTAATATATGTAATTAAAAATATATTTTAATTAAAATGTTAATATTAAAAAAAAATTTATATGATTGAAAAATTAAAATATTATAGGAGCATATATAAAAATTCAGACATAATATAGAAATACATAAAAATTTTGGGGTATGTTTGTAAAATTTTTTTCCACGATTAAAAGAGAAGATTTATAAAAAAGAAAATAAAAGAACTTTGGACTTGGCTTTGAGCTCCACTAGGGTTTGCTTGTGTTGGCGATTTTGTTTTTCCACCTCTCCTCCCCGGCCGCCTCGGCCGTTGCTTCGCCTCCATCTCCTCATGGAGTTGGACGCAGCGAATTTCCCCCCTCTACCAGGTAATTCTGTCCTTGGTGCAGCTCCAAAGCCCCTTCCCCACTCTTATGCTGATAGTCTGGCCAACCCCTCAGTTAACAATTTTGATTTCCCGATGTCCTTTGTTTCTCCGACCCAAAAGCTCTCCTTCAAGGCAGCAGATTTTTCGGAAGGAGCTACCATCTGGACACACTCCCTTATCGGTTACTCGTTAGGACAGCGTCCATATTACGAGAGACTACTTGCTGCGATGAACAAAACTTGGACACTGAAAGGCTCCTTCTCTCTTCTTTCTATGGCGGATGGCTTCTTCATAGACTGAAACAGATTATGCCTCACATTATTCATGAGAGTCAATCGGGTTTCATTGCGAATAGAATTTCGACTGACAATATTATTCTGGCCACGGAAGTGCTTAAACTTTTTAAAGGTCATCACAAGTTTTTTTGTGCTAAGTTGGATATCAAAAAAGCCTTTGATTCCATTTTTAGAGAATTCCTTTTGGATAGACTGAGGCGGAAAGGCTTTCCTGAACTTTTTATTAAATGGATTCATGGTTGCATTTCAGACGTTTATTTCTCTATTTGCATCAATGGTTCTTTAGAGGGTTTTTTTAAATCCTCTTCTGGTCTTCGGCAAGGATGTCCTTTATCCCTTTTGCTTTTCTGTATTGCCATGGATGGTTTATTTCATTGCCTAAATTCTAATCCCAATGCTTCTTTTGAGGGGTTTAAGCATAAAAACTTTTGTTTGTCTCACCTTATGTATGCTGATGACTTACTTATATTTGGGGAGGCCTCTTTGTCTAATCTTGCTTGCCTTAAGGCCACTCTTATTTCCTTCAAGGAGGCCTCGGGTCTTTGTATTAACCCGGCTAAGAGCTCAATTTTATTCTCAAAGGCTGTTGACAATTCGGATATTCTGGCTAATTCTTTGGGGATTTCTAACCTTGAGGATATTTTCACCTATCTTGGCATTCCTATCACTACTCAAAGACTCAAGTTTTCTCACTTCCAACCCCTACTGAGCAAGCTTTCTGCTCTACTTGAGGGTTGGAAAGTTAAGTTTCTTTCTTTTGCAGGACGTGTTCAATACATCAAATTCACGATTGCTAATACCATTGCATACTGGATTAGAGGTGCTATCTTACCCAAATCCTGTCAAAAGTTCATTTCAAGGATTTGCTCTAAATTTCTATTCTTTGGCAATCTGACGGACAAGAAGATGCATATGATTTCTTGGAGGAGTGTTACTACGCCTAAGTCCAAGGGGGGCTTGGTATTCCCTCTCTGGACTCGATGTATCATGCTGTAGCATTTTCGTTTATTTGGAGATTGATTAATACTAATTCTCTGGTGGGCTGGTGGTTTAAGAATAATTATGAATCTCCTTGGAAGCCTCCACCTCCTTCGGCTTCAAAATTTTGGAAACTTATTTGCTGCAAGGCTGTTGGTTTTAAGGATTTGGTTAGCTTCAAGGTTGGCACCGATTGCAATTACTCTTTATTTTGGGACCCTTGGTTCTATGGTGAGCCGATGGGTAATAGTTTTTGTATCCCCTCTGGGATGGGTTGCTGTGTGAAGGAAGTGATTATGAATGGGAGATGGAGTCTTCCCAGATCTTGGCCTATTAATATTTGTTCCAGAATTTTGGGCATTCCGATTCTGGATACTGATAACTTGATGTGGGTTGGTCCTTCTAAGCCTACTTCTAAGTTTTTCTCTTCCCATTTCTACTCTTCCTTAGACAATGTGGATTGGTATAAGTATGTTTGGCATAAAAAACACGCCATTCGTTTTGCTTGTTATGCCTGGATGGCGATTCTGGGGAAACTTAAGTGTGCTGATTCGTTGATTAGGAGAGGGCTCCAGGTTAATCCTCTTTGTAATTTCTGTTCGGGTCATTCTGAAACACACTCGCACTTATTTTTTGGGTGTGACTTTACTTTTGGAGTTCTCACTAAGCTTCTGCCGGCTACTAATGCCTACTACTTAAGACCAAACCTTTTTCAGGTGTATGATTTTATGTGGAACAATGCTAACTTAGCTGTGTTAGAGAAAAAGTTTGCTTCTCTTGCTATATCATCTATTGTTTATTTCCTTTGGAGAGAAAGAAATCAGAGGAGATTTTCTGACGTGAGAAAGAGCATTAATCAAGTATGTGATGATATTTGTGTAGCGGTTTGTGCCAAGGTTAAAAACTGGAATAATCATGATAGTCTGGATGGAAAATTTGGTGAAACTCTGGCCTTTTTGGGATAATTGGAACTTGTTGTTTGTGCCCTCTGTCGAAAGTTATCTGGACGTGTTTTTTGACGTTTTGGTTTCCCTGCTGCTTCGTGTGGTTGAGAACTGGGTTCTCTATTGGTTCTTTGTTTTGGCAACAATCAATTTTTGTGTTAGAGACCATTTTTGGGTTATTTTTGGCAGCTTGGACGATGATGAGCTATGGACTACACCAAGCACCTCCTCGGATGGTCTATGGGCAACCAGGGCGTGCTATTCTGACTGATTTCGATATGACCATGGCTGTTGGGGACACTGTGAGGGTCCTTGGTTTTTCGGTCGATCGTTTCCCTAATGCCTACTGCTGTTGCTGGGTTTTATACCTAGCATTCGTTTGATTGTTTTTTTGATGTTATTTGATCAAATGGTGTAGTCCTGTATTCTGAGTCCTATTTTCCGCCTTTTATAATTTGTTACTTCCTTTTGTTTTTGGGGATATACTGGTCTTACTTGTAATTGATAGATTTTTGTTGTAATCTTTGATTTTGACATTAATAGAAGGGCTTATGCCCCAAATTTTCCCAAAAAACAGAGAAGATTTGTATTAAACTTTTAATTACCAATCCCGCCGCCCTTTGCTACTCTTCTTCGATTCTCGCTCTTTTCTGGGAAGGTACTGTGCTCAACTCGTGGAAGTGAGAAGAATGGAGAAGATTGAAGAAGTGGTGATTGTTGGCGCAGGAGTTTCAGGCCTGGGCACGGCCCTCGGCCTCCACCGGTGCGTGCTTCTTACATCCATTAATCTCCTTATGTAGATTCCCTTGCTTTACTTTCTCTGTCACTCCTTTTGAACACTAACTAATTCATTAATTCTCTAATCGATCTTTTTGTATTTTGGTTACAGGAAGGGTATAAGAAGCTTGGTGCTAGAGTCGTCGGACTCCCTCAGAGCTGCCGGCTTCGCTATCTTAACCTGGCCCAACGCCTGGAAGGCCCTTGACGTACTGGGCGTGGGCGATTTCCTCCGAGAAACTCATGTCCTTCTTCAAAGGTAGTCTTCAAGAGCTGTTTATTTTTCTTTGATGCTTATTTTTATGCTAAGTCGAATATATATATATATATATATATATATATATAATGTTACAATATTATATACAAAATGTATTAATATGAGCTTGAAACTCTTTGTATATATATATATATATATTTGACCATTTTACTTGGGGGTGGTTTGGCTACAAGTAGGATTTAGTAAATCTTGTAAATCTAAATTTAGTTAATGCTGAAGGTGTTTAATAATGAAAACTATTAAGCATGATAGGTGTTAAGTTTGGTTATAACCGTTATATTATAGTTAAACTGTTTCATTTGTATTTTCATGATTTAGGATTGAAGGAATTTGAAGAAGATGTACAATAATGAGAAGTTATGCAAATTCCGTAAATCTTGCTTCCCTGTGATTTGCTAAATTTGGGATTTAGCTTAAAATGGAAGGAAAATGAGATTTAAGAAGGTAGTAAGCTCAAAATTTGCTTGGCAAGTCTTAGCGTAAATCTTGGCTGCTAAATATTGCAACCAAACCTACCCTTAATGTATCATTTTGAGCATATGCTTTTACGGTGCATGGTCACATTTTTTAGCATTTATTGTTTCTCTTTAATTTATTAATTTTTATGAAGATTTTGCCTTATTTAGTTGATAATAAGCGAAATAAAAACTTTGAAGTTTGTAAAAATCCTCATGAAAAGTTAGTTTATAGAGGTTGATTAGTTCCGATATCGGGGCAAGTCCACATGAATGTTGCTAATGCTTCTATTCATGCTTCCCAAGCTGAGTATCTTTTTATTCAAAATGGGTCTAATGCCCATTTCACCTCCATCGAGACTCATATTATGGCTTCTCAAAAGGATTCCATTATGCTGATCAATCAAAGCTTAATTCTGAGATCCCCATCACTCTATTATTTTTCGTAACTAGTTTTACTAATGGTTTCTCTAAGGATGTTTCAATGCCTCAAGGTGAGGAGAATATATCTATGATTGATCATGTGGCTTTTAATGTAGAGATTCCTATTTTTCTTTGATACTTGATAATCGATCCTCAGCCTCTTCATCAGACTTCGAAAGAGGCTTCACTATGCAAACAATAATTATTGTTCCTACAACAGATAGCATCCTTATTAATAAGACTTTTGATGTTGCTTGGCGCACACAATGTAATCCCTTAGCAATAGACTTCTTTTCCTCATGTTCATGGTATGACACAGACACATCATCAATATTCTCCAATTAATAACCCAAATTCTATTGCGAACACATTTATAGAATTTGTATATGCCTTAATTAGATTTGAGGATGATGTACCAGTTAAGAATGCTGATTTTCATAAGCATCGTGGAAGGAGTAAAAAGAAAAATTACATCAAAAGTTAAAGATTCACAACATTCTTTTCAAAGAAATTTGTCGGTTGTGATTCTTATTAATGGGAGATTCAATATGACTAATCATTCCCATTATTGTGCTTATAGTTATGTCTTCTTTTACGTGCTTTGAATACTCTTTGCTTTTATAACTTCTCTCATTTGGGGCACACTGTATGAATTTTGTGTGCCTCCTTTTGGTCCTTTGACAGTCGCATATTATCTCATCTATACTTTCCTCAATTAATCAAAGCCATGCTTTACCCAAATAAAAAGGCATTAGATAACACTGTTGAAATTTTATTATTATTAAATCGTAATATCTTTGTTGATCATTGGAGCTCATGAAATAAGCAATGAGAAAATTGTCTAAATTCTTACCATCTTTTAACCTCTAGATCCCACGATTCACTTCCTACCCTCTATCCCCCTCCCTAGCCTCATAGCGTGAAGGTCTCTTGACCTTATTATTAGTTTGATAAATTGGCCTTCCTACATTAGTTCTCAATTGGAATTTTGGAGATTCTTTCTGAGGAGAAAGCTCTTTGAATTTTATGTTACCTCATGATTTTGATTATTGGCATGTAAAATGCAGCTTCAAGCTAGGAACACCCAACTACATAATTAAACGGACATCAAGAAGCTTATGAAATTCTTTTATATTTCAAGTTGAATTCAAAAATTCTACTTGGAATAGTTCACGGACACTCTCCATATGTGATGCGGAAGGTTTGATTTCTTTTTTGTGAAGTTTTAGTGTTTTTTTTTTTGGATTTTATAGTAGACTGAAAATTGGTTACGAGAAGAGAACAACAAATAGGGAACTTGAATATGTTTGGTTTGTTCTCCAAAAGTTTGACTTGAACAGCCCCAAATAAATTTAGGGTTATTGAAGAATGGATATGGACCAATGACATGGAGATTTTGATGAAATTTTGGTGGGTTTGAGTTGGTCAATTGCTTGCAAGTTTGAGTCTAGTCCAACAAAATAAAATGATTTGGCCGATCGTAGCAATGGAATTTTGCCTTGGATTTGAGGTATGAAAATGGATTTTGAATTTTCTATGATTGATTACAAACGCAAGAACAAAATTATAGAAGATTGTAATAAATAAAGTGTTGGAAAAATAAAAGTCTACTCACTCAAGTAGAGGGTTCAAGAGGATCATTAAATAATCTTGGGTTGGCCAGCCAACAAGCCACCAATTCTCCTTGGAAATTATCTCCAAAGTGTGTTAAATGACGAAAACAAACTTTTATTTCAGAAAATGGATGATGTAAAACAATACATGCGAAGATGAGTTGCTTAGGGAAATTTGCACACTTAACTGTTCAAGAACAAGTCTCAATAAAACTTATGCCGATTTAAACGCTAAGATAAAATAATAAGGCGATAAAACAAGCTTAGGCTAAATCACATGCGTGGAAGTTAAGATTGCAAACTAATCAATTAATCTAACGTTGCATACATGGATGGTTTCAACAATAAATCCCTATGCTAACAATAAGATTAGTCACTACAGGAGATCCCTCACTCAACTCTTCTAATTAATAGGCTTTAGCGGGGAAGCATTAATGTGATCGCCATGAATCTATTAAGACCACAATTGAGAAGTAACATCGAAGATAAAAGAGTCGGGGGAAGAGTTTACCCAAAAACAAGAGAGTTGCGAGCTCCGGGTAAGTCGTTGGAAGGTTGAAATGAAAGGGGACAGCAGTTCGGCTGGAAAGACAGCATCAGAGAGGTTCATGATCCTCTGGACAGCAATCTTGGCACGTTGGAAAGCTCTGGACAGCAACCCCGCAGTTTCCAGAAAATCTGGACAGCAAATAGAGGCCTTCCGGATGGCGACACAGCATTAGGAACCTGCTGGAACCTTGGGACAGCAGCTGTGGGGCTTCAGGATAGCGAACCGGAGGTTCTAGGAGAGCAGGACAGCAGCTCGTCTTGCCGAAAATTTCCTGGGCAGCAGCTACGAACTTTCAGGACAGCAAGCATGAGGTTTTGGCGAGCAGGACAGCTGTTTGGCCTGTCGAAACCTCATGGACAGCACCCCCGGCTAGGGTGTGGGGAGGAGAATAGGTTAGAAGAAGCGTGGATGAGGTTTAATAAAAAATTTGAAATTACTTTCAGTTTTGAGTGAATTTGGAGGGAAATCCAATTTGAAATTAAGCTCAAATTCCAAATGAGGTCTAGGGGAGTTAATGGGCAATTAATGGGAGCCTATTAAGGGTGGCCGGCGGCATAGAGAGAGAGAGGATCCAATTCAAATCCTGAAATTAATTTCAGGATTTGAGTGAATTTGGAGGGAAAAACTAATTGAAATTTGATTTCAAATTAGCCTGGAATTAATGCATTAAATGAGCATTAAATGGAGAGAGGCCCTAGAAGGGCCGGCGGCATGGAGAGAGGGGAGGAGGGAGATTAGGGATTGGTTATTTACTTTCCAATCGTGTTGATGCCACATAGGATAAAAAATAATAATTCCACATGTCATGAAATTTGGATGGGATCCAATTCAAAAACTTTCCTTTTTTAGACTTTTGCAAATATGGAAAGTTTTGAATATCAAATTTGAATTCAAAATTGCTAGATTCTCCCTTTATTGCAAAACCCAAATTAAGGAGTCATTATGACAATTTGAATGTCATAATGACTTGGGTCATGAGTGTGGCCGGCGGTCCAAAGGAGGGAGGATATGTCGCCTTCGGGTTGAGGTCGGTTTTGATGGTGGTGGTCTTTGACATGGGGAAACTAGGGGGTGAAATGATGTGGAGATGAGGGGATGGAAGGATGCCGGCGATCGGGTGGGTGATGGTCATCTGCTTGGGGAGGTGGAGCTAGGGGAAGACTTGGGTGGATGAAGAGGGGAGAAAGGAGATGAACAAAAATCACGAGTAAGATAGAAGTAATTAACGAACTCACAAAGAGATCGTAAGAACCGCGAACCTTAGACTCTTCCAAAGATTGGCGGGTATTGCAAATTATCCTCCTCGGGCTTCTCCTTTCATGAACTCACTAAGAGATCAACATGAACTCACTAAGAGATCACCAAGAATATAAAATTTTCATTATCAATAATTCATCATCCTTACATGAAGAGGAGAAGGCTTTAAATATCCAACGGAATAAAGAAAATACAAAGACACAATTGCCCTTAAGGCAAACACATGACGAGGCCCTTAAACAAGGGCATAAATGGAAAGAAATATAATAGACTCATAAAACATAAAATAAAATATATCAAATATAATAATAATCAAAAGTAGGATGTCCTCATCAATGGAGCTTTTATACAACTCATACAACTCAAGAGACATCTCTTGGAATTTGATATGTCGTGGAAGTGAAAATAGCAAGTAAAAGAGAAGAAAAATGTAGGAACATCAAGATAGGGCTGATTTTTTTATTATCTCTTCAATAATAAAGCAAAATACAATTGATCCACTATTAGAGAGGTAGATAAACTCTTTGACAAATCTTATATGCCGTTAGGAACTCACAACAACATGAGGAAAATAAAACTTAGCAATAACATAAATTAAACCCATCATAGTCACTTCCCCTTAAATAGCTTTAGAAAATAATAACATAAATAGAATCTTCCTAATCAACATAAACATAATTTAGGAAACCTTCCTAATCAATTGCCAGCATAAAAATCTTCCTAAATCTTTTCTTTCCTTACATAGTGAATATTAACATTCATGGGCCCCACAATGGGGCCAAAACCCCCTCTCTACTACTGCTCTGGTTCCCGTCAAGCGGTTTTGTTGGGTTCAGTTGATTTGGGTTAGCCGGATGGTCGGCTGGTTCCTGCCCTCCTTAAACGTAATAATACGCCCTTCCAAAGATCCACCTTATCCTCAAGGTGAAAAGTAAGAAAGTGGTCTTCACCCTCTTGTACGGCTCCCATGTGACATAATAGTCTGGTATGTTCTTCCATTTTATTAGCGCTTCCTTGATCCCTCCCTTTCCCTATTGTACCCCTTCCAGCTCCAATGGTTCCAACACTACCTCCAAATTCTCTGTCAATGTCATGGGTAACTCTGAACTGATTTTTTATTATCTATTCAAGAATAAAACAAGATACAATTGATATACTATTCAAGAGGTAAATCAGCTCTCCAACAAATCTTATAGATGCCGTTAGGAACTCACAACAACACTAGAAAAATAAAACTCAACAATAGCATAAACTAAATCCAAGACAACTCCCCCTTAAATAGCTCTAGAATATAATAACATAAACAGAACATTTCTAATCAGCATAAACATAATTTAGGAAACCTTCATAAAAAAATTAGGCCTTTTCTAATTAGTCTAAACATAATTTATGAAAACTACCAAATCAATTGACAGCATAAAAACATTCCTAATTATTTTCCTTCCTTATATAGTGAATATTAATTTTTCTGGGCCCTATAAGGGGGGCCGAAACCCCCTCCATGCTGCTACTCTGGTTCCCGTCTAACGGTTTTGCTGTGTTTGTCTGGTTGGCTCCCTCCCTCCTTTGGCGTAACATAATTCAAATTCAAACAGTGAATAGGTGTGGAGGGAGCGCCCTTGCTTGTTTTGACTTAGTCCATATGTAACCACCATCCCAATTCCTCACATGCACAATAGCATGGCCTGCCATAGGCCTACACCATGACTTCAACTTCACACTTAAGCACTACAAAAGCAAAATACCACATCATGAAGTTCAAATACACCTTAAAACATAATAAACATGAAAAATACATAAACAAAACACAAAATGACATAAATGTTTATTGTTTTTTCCCAGCTTAAGCTTTAGATCTGGTCATGGGTCCTTCATGTACTCTTGTTTTTGCTCTAGTGATAGGACCACCTTTATGTGCCACCTCAGATTGTGCAGGTTTCAAGCCCATACCAAAATCCAACTTTTGGATTTTTTAAGTCCTCTAACGATAAACTTTTATAAGATGGTTTGTCCAAATAATATATTATTAGTAAGCTGTAAACTAAGATGATATGCTAACACTACTAAAAATGAAGATGTTATACCAATCAATTTATATATCTACCATTACATCTGAATAAGAATCCAAAGTATTTAATATTTGATTCTCGTAAAATTTGAATTATCTATTAAATCTATTAATTCATTCTCCATAGAACTGTTCTGTAAAGTATATAGATCAAAACCATGATATTTATTTTATAGTGCTTCATTTCATCGGCGGTGTTAATCCTATTCATGTACGTATGACGAGCTTTCATTGAACTTCTCCCGCCAAGTTCAGACTAAATGTGCTCCAATGAGCATTTACCCACCTACGCAGACAAGAACCAAAACATCTGGGGCCTTAAGAAGCAATCATGTTTTGCTTGGCAAGTTCTTTGCTCCCAACTAGATTCTTTTTTTGTGCAGGCTGGCTATCAATTCTGCAACAACAGGAGAAGTCATAGCAGAACGAACGTTTTCAAGAGGAGAACAGCGGTTAGATTCTAAAACATTTAAACAAACATCTATTTATATAAGAGTTTCATGAGAAATTGTAATGATGCAGAACATATATATATATATATTCTTTTTGCAGTTTGAAGCTTGAGGTCCGTTCTTTGAAGAGAAACCTGTTGCTGGAGGCTTTGTCAAAGGATCTGCCGCCTGAAACCATAAGGTTCTCTTCCAAGGTTGTCTACATAGAGGAGGTTGGTAAGTTGAAGCTCTTGCATTTGGCTGATGGTTCTACTCTTAAAACTAAGGTATACATCTCTCTCTCTCTCTCTCTCTCTCTCTCTCTCTCTTAAGATTTTGTTGGCAAACCCATTTTGAACCATTGTAAAGGTTCACTCGATTGGTTGAAGTACAAAAAAAAAAAAGAAGCATGTTTTGAGAAATGATGTGTTTATTAGAATCTATGATTTTGTTGAATGTGGATATTAATCAGTATGAATTTTGAACTCCATAAGCACTTTTAGAACTCCTCAAAAGGGTTGTTTTTATTTTCACACATAAAATAAGTAAAAAAATAAATCATCACTTTCTAAATTGCACTTTAATCTGCAAGCAACCAAATGGACCTTAGAATTCAATCTAAAAACAATTAAGCAATATGTTGAGATTTAGGAGTAATATCTATAATCTAATAATATCTAGTAGCTTGTGCCAATAATTATTTTCTAGCACAAATAAACAAATTACTGAAGCATTAACTAATACAAGTGCACAACAAAATTTATTTTATAACAGTCAGTACAATCTAATTTTACACAAGTTAGAAAATTTTCGCATCAATTAACCAAAATTTTAAGTCCATACGTTGAGGTTTAGAATTTCCTTTGTACTTGTTTGATTTTGTAGAGATCCTTATAGGAGTGGAAAAGTAGTCATACATTGAATTTGACATAAAAGTTGAATTCCTAATGTAGTAGTTATGACTCTTACCTGTTGGCTTAAACTTATGGGTTGATAGGTGTTCATCCAACTAGCATATTGCTCCAAAGTTGTGCCCCTAGTGCTTTATCCTTTTAATAAGTGATATTTGAGCTAGTAGTTCAAGTTGGTTATGGTGGCTTATGTAGTTTTTGGCTCTCATGAGTGTTCACACTTTTGTCATGGCTAAGCAAAGTTAAAATAGAAGGTGATTCTCAATTATACTCTACATGATTAAATAGGCTTTTGATGAATTGACACTGAATAGTTTTAATTTTTTTTTTCTGTTATAGGGTTGTTGCGGGCTATAATATACACGGCGATAGAGTTATAATTTTACGTTTTAGCGTTGCACGGATATCCAGCTCACACTCATAGAACACAAGATTTTTTACTTGAAAAACTCTTGAAAGGGGAAAAACCACGTGGCCTAGCACAGTTGAAAAGATTTTAGTAGAATTTGAGTTGATTACAGTGGGCTGACTCGTCCCTGAGGGCGATCAGATTACAAATGTCAAACGTATGGTTGAAGTCTAGTGTAAAATATGACGTCACTTGGAAGTTGGTGGTCTGGCGGAGTTTAGGGCCTCAAGTGTTGGTCTGACGGAGTTCAGGCCCTTAGGCGGGGATCCGGCGAGGGTGAGGGTCTAAGGCGGTGATCCTGCGAGTGCGAAGGCCTCAAGTGGTTGTCCGGCGAGGGCGAGGGCCTCAGGTGGTGGTCCGGCGAAGGCGAGGGCCTCAGGTGATGGACCGGCGAAGGCGAGGGCCTCAGGTGTTGGTCCGGCGAAGGCGAGGGCCTTAGGTGGTGGTCCGGCGAACTCAGGCGGTGGTTGAGGAGGAGCTTATTCCTTCTCTTTTTTCCCTTCTCTTCTTCTCTTCTTGCTTGGATCTCTTTTCAAGAGAAATGAGGAGTCTATTTATAGATTTCTAGAGTGGCATGGCTCGTAAATAGGTGAGAGATCAAGGGTAAATGGGGAGTGGTTAGATGAACGGCTGATGTTGAATCCCTTGTTCATGGGCCGTTTGATGGATATTTGAACATCTTATTGATGCGGAATTTAGTGATCTTGGGCTCGTTGGATTCGTCTCGTCAAGCCGCTCGATTTGACTATAAGCATGTTATGTTTGGAAGCCGTTTGGTAATCTGAATTGTTGTTCAAAGCTTCCAATAGCACTTCTAACACTTGATTTGGACCCATTTGGGCTTAGATTGAGTTGGATTTGATGTCGTTGGGTTCATATTCTTGAGATGCTCAATTCAAATATAAGTTTGATGAAATTAGAGTTCGGATGATCCCATTTTTAATTTCGGAAGTTTCCAACTTGATTTTGCATCGAGATTCGTGACCGGTCAAGATAAATTTTTGATGAAGTATCAAGGGTGATGATAGCCATTGATGATTCCTATGTAAGAAGGAGATTGTTGAGATTCTAATAGGAATAAAGAATAATAACATATATTGCAAGTGAAATAAAAGGCGACTAATTAAAATGAGTTCTTAATATAGTAGTAGTGACCCTTACCTTATTTTAGCTTTACTAGTGCTTATCTACTATTATATTAAGCCCAACTAAGATGCCTTATTTTCACACTGCTAACAAGTAGTATTAGATGACTAGGATCAAATATTTCTTATTGTTTGTGCTCGCATGAATTGTGACAACTTTTGTAATGGTAGAGCAATATTCAAGAACGGATGTCTCACAAGTGTGCTCTAGCTGGTTGTGTTGGTTCTTGATGCATGCCACTTGATTTGTTATAAGGTTTTTATTTGAGTGAAAGTGATAGTTGTTGATGACTCTCATGTAATGGGGAATTTTTTAGGTCCAAACTTGTTTAAAAATAAGCCATACATTGGAATAGAGAAATAAATTTTGAGCTTCTAATATAATAGTAGTGATCTTTGTCCAGTAGTTTAATCTCTTAGATTGATGGGTGTCCATGTACTATATTAATCTCAACTTCGGCCCCCAAAGTTTCACCACTCTAACAACTAGTTTAAGAGTTAATGATTTGATTGAGATTGAGAGATTCATGTTATTATTAGCCATCAAGTGGCTTGATTACTTATTTTATGGTTGAGCAAAGTTCGAGGACAATTAATTCTTATGTGCACTCATAGACGAGAATGTGTTCTTGATGTATGATAAGATTGGTGTTAAATAACTTTATTTGACATAGTGATAGCTAGTGTTGATGATTATTAGGTGAGGGGAATGAGAGTGAAAAATAGCACAAAAAAGTGAAACATGAGGGAGTTAATAATATAATAATAGTGTCCCTTATCAATTTGGCTTAACCTTTTGTGTTGTGCCAAGTGTTCTATCCTTATAGGCTATTTTTGTGTTTCTGATTTCTTTTTAATCAATGGCTCCTTCCTCTTTTTTTATAGAAAACCTCATATTTGTCATGGTTTATAGCATGTGCGAAGTGATTATTGTTGCTTTAGAGCTAGATATAAGCAATCATTCTTCTTTGAAGATACGTTGTACTCTCATTGATGTGTATATTTGGAGTGCAGTGTAGTTATGAAGGCTATTGGTGTAGACTATTTACTTAAGATTAAAGGAATTGCTACGGTATATTGCTATTAGTGAAGAGGATCTCTCGCTGATCTTTAGATCTTGAGCATGGTGAATTGTAGCTCTTTTTTTTGCTCACAATCTTGGATGAGTAGCAGTTGAAACGAGAGAAATAAAGGGTGTGACAACAGACGGAGGAGACGGTGAGGAAGATAACAAAATAGGGTATATTGGCCATTTTCTTCTTGAAAATGCTCAAATACATCATGTGTAGGTGACATGATTGTGACTAATGAAACAAAAATGACCCTAGAGATCTAAATGAAATGTTTTGAAAAACGTGAATAAACTAAAAAGATGGCCTATGCCCAATCGATAGGCCACTGCACCAAGGCATTCCACAACCAAATAAGGTCCGAATTATCATGAGGACAATTTCTCATTCCTCCTCGCTGGTGCTTTCTACCTATAGGGCCTCAGCTTTAAATAAACTTTGTAACTTGGTTCGAAGTGTATTTCTCTCCTCTGCTCATTCACCTTTCTTTTCATAATATATTGGGCTCTCAATAAATATTCCTTGAGCTCAAATAATACCCTATCCCTTTCCTCTAAATACCGGTCTACACTTAATACTAATGTATGTTGTGTCCATAATGAATTAAATGAGGTGGGTCTCTCCCATAGAGAATCTTGAAGGGGGTGGTATGTGCTGCGGAATGGTACGAGTTGTTGCACCAATATTTAGCCTAAGAAATCCACTTTGTCTAACTCTTTGGCATATCTAATATGAGGCATCTCATATAGGTATCTACACTTTTGTTGACTATCTTTGCTCGCCATCTATCTGGGGATAGTATGTCGTGCTTCTATTCAGTATTGTTCTCTATAAATGAAACAACTCTTTCCATAAATGACTAAAGAACACATTCTCTCTGTCTGACATCATGGATTTTGGAAATCCATGCAAACGTACCATCTATATTATGAAAGTAGTGGTCACAGAAACCACAGTGTAAGGATGCTTCAAAGGAATTAAGTGTGCATATATGCTGAAATGATCCACTACTGCTAGTATCACCGAAAACCCCTCCAAACGAGGCAACCCTTTGATGAAATCCATCGTAACTTCCTCCCACGCCCTCTCTGGCAGAGCTAGAGGCTAACTATACTGGCATTATGGCTAAGTACTTGTGCATCTAGCACACATTACTTCTCTCTATCCAGTCCTCCATATTGCGGTGCATCCCCACCTAGTTTCTCTAATAGGCAGTTGTAAGTTTTCTGAGCTCCTGAATGTCCTCCCACTACATGCGATGAAACTCCTACAATAGCTTGGGGATGTATACCGACCCCCTCGATAAAACGAATTACCCCTGATGTAGCAGTTTGGACACCCCTCAGTGTGTACCCGAGATGACTGGCCGGCTGCTGCAACAAATTGGCTCTGATCTTTCTCAGACCCTCATCCTATTCACTCTCATGTTTGAGGGCTTCCCAATCTAGGACCATAGGTACTGATAGAGCTGTCAATTTTGGCTCGTCCGTCTTCCGTGATAGTGCATCTGCGGCCTTGTTATCCAGTCCCGGGTGATACTAAATCTCGAAATCATATCCTAACAACTTGGACAACCACCTTTGATGTTCCTCAGTCACCATCCTCTGCTCCAATATAAACTTTAGACTCCTTTAGTTTGTCCTGATGACAAAATGTCGCTCCAACAAATAAGGTCACCACTTTTGGATGGCTAAGACAATCGCCATTAATTCTCGCTCATAAACAAACCTGAGCCTTACCCTGGCAGTTAGC